AAGGTTCATCAATTACATGAGTTCATAGTTAATTAAGTTAAAATCATCTAATTTACAACAATTCAATCAATATACAATGCTTAAAAACCTTAAATGTAAGAACCCATGGATTGATCATAAAATTGGACAAGTTCATATTTGAAAACATTAGAAAACTTCTTTGAATTTGGGTTCCTTGATGAATAGAGTGTCATGGATCAAAAACCATAACTCAATGATGTTAATCCTCCAATTTGCTGAAGAATAACCACTCAAATCTCCAATCCAAGTTCTTCCTTGACTTTTGGCTTCAATGGAGTTCTAAGGGATTTTTGGTTTTGATTTTGAAGAATGAATTTTTCTAAGTGTTAAAGACTTATATACATGTTTAAAATACCCAAAGACACTTAAATAAATGCCAAAATTATAATATGAGCGTGGTATGAATTTACAATTTCACCCCTAACATTACAGTGAAATGCGCAGGAAGGCAGTCCTCACAGACAAATGGTCATCGACGGCCCGTTCATTAACCAACGGACCGTCCTGTTGGTCCGTGGTTTGGGAATGAGGCTGGTATTTGGATTGGCCTCTACCAAGACTAAGTGTCCACCTACACCCCCTCACCTACGGGGCATCGACTGACCCACAGGGGGTCGACTGCCTCCGTAGGTTGGGCTGGTTTTTGACAGCTTGGCCACTCTTGAAGGGTCCTTCCTCAAGGATTCTTGAATGGTCCTTAGGGATGTTTGCCCGGACGTTTCCAACCTAAATATGTTCGTATACGAGTTTAGGAACTCTCACATGAATTTCACCCAAATAGAACACGTAAAACTTGACGATACATGCTTAGACACATAAGGTCATTTCAAGGTAAACATTTCGAACGTCATGGACGTTCTTGGATGTTTGGCCTCCAAACTTCACGAGCTTGACATAATACCTATATACATCATAATAAATCTTTTAATGACCTTATAACCTCATGAATCACACATAAAAACACCAAACCACATATGAGGAATATAGGTGAGTTAGTCGTCGAACGTCTTAGTTGTCCCTTGACGTTTGACTTTCAATGTACCTATACTCTTAGAGACTGACTCTATACCACATTATAGAAAAATTTAGGACCTTAAACCATCATAACAACCATGTTAGGCTCTAGTCCACCTAAGTCATTTTTGGGATCTTACAGATAATGTTGGTTGGTTTAGCGGAAATTGTGTGCCTCTAATTATAGCTAGATCATTTATTATGATAACAAATATGTAAAATAAAATTTGGTATGATACAAATTTATTTTACATGTATGCATCAAACCAACAAGGTTCTCCCAACACAATTGGTTCAAGGTCAGGAACCAAATAATTTCCATCTAAAAGTTTGATATGTGCACATATTATTTAATTGTTCCACCACGCATAAATATGGATCCCCAAATGAGGTTGAGGGTGAATGTTAGATTTCTTAACATTAGGGGGAGATATGTGTAGCAGCTGAAAATTATGAGTGAGTGAATTATCTAGACCCTCGTTATAAAAAATGTGAACTTTAAGTTCAAGAGATAATTCATTTCCAAAATTTTGCAAGAAATTTGGCTGACGTATTTGGTAACCCAATATTTTAATTAAGATGCAAATGATCCAATAAATAATCCTTGAAGGACATAGTGTATGGTACACTAAAAACGTAATAGACTAATCGATTCCACACATGAAACTACTTGGGAAAGGAGAGGAGCAAATTATCAAAATGGTCATGATAATGAGGTAAGTGCTTTAAAAGAGCACTATGACATAACACTTGATAAAACCTTTGCAAAGGTTCATATACCTGAAAAAGATTGAAAAATGAAGAGATCTTGATAAGTTATTTCATATTGGAATTGATATCAAAATTACCACCGACGATATATTTGATACTTAAATTTGAATTTGGCATTAGTGTTGACAGATAAAGGATTAGCCAAATAAAATGCACTATTCAAGTATATTTTGTTTCACTTAGAAAAGTGTATTTTTTAACTTATAGTTCATAGATCAAAATATTTGTCAGTGGGGTACAAATGAATCATTATGCAAAAGTATAATCGAAAGACATAAAGTACGATTTGTGCCTCGTGAACACAAAAGGGTTTTCGCAAAAATCCTGACATTATTAAATGGAGATATACTCTCTAGTGGTGTATGCAATAAGACATGTTTCAGTCTGGCAATAGATGGAATACATGAATATACATAATGAACTATTAATATGTCTAACTTGACGATGAAGGTTTAATGAAAATTTTTGAAGGATTTAAAAGGTGTTAAAGAAATTTCATTGAGTACCTAATGGTTTTGAGACTGCTTAACACAGAGTAAGAATCTTTTTGATCTCATGAAAATGAGTTAAAATGTCATGTATTAGTGTAATTGGTGCACTTATATATTTTTGGTTATGCAAATGCTAGAAGATTATTTGATATACATAACGAAAGTTATTTAAAAATATTGTCATAGTATCATTCAAGTTATGACAAGAAACTAACAAAGCTAGTGACTCAACACATAGAAGATGTGTGATTTTTTTTCAGAAGAAAAGACGAGTTTTAATAAAATTAAAATGATCAATTTCCAATTCAAAAATAATTTGATTATATTGATGCAGAATATTTGTTTGATCTGCATAAAGCTCGATTGCAAATGGACTAATATTTACATATGGAGACACAATAATTCAAAGAATCACACTAGTAACCACTTCTTCAAATCATGCAGAAATAATATTGAGCTATAAAGTAAGTCAGGAGTGTGTTTGGTTGGAATCATGATCTATCATATTCAACCAATATGTAATTTTCCTTTGGCAAATGATATTCCAGCAACTATATACGAAAATAATATTGAATGGAGGATACAATCAAATGAGATCAGAACCAAGTATATTTCATTTAAAATCTTTTTCACACATGATCTTCAATAAAATGGTGGTCAGATAGACGTTGAAGATCCATTCAAGTGATAATTTAGTAAACTTATTCACTAAAGATTGTCAACAACAATATTTGAGAAGTTGTAATACAAGATTGGAATGCATTGTTCTTGAGATATCAAGTAAAGTTTTTATCAGGGGGAGAAAATACGTGTTGTAATATTTTCCTTAACTATGATTTTATCCCAAATAAATTTTCCTGGAAAGGTTTTTAACGAGACAATATTCAAAGCGTATTAAAATATATGTGTACTCTTTTTCCTTCCATAGGATTTTTTCCCATGAGGTTTTTTCCTAGTATGGTTTAACGAGACATATTATCTATGGACATCCAATGGGAGTGTTATAAAATAATATATTGTGGATGTCCACTACATCAAGAAGTTACTCCATTTCTTTCCTCCATTATGAAGATAATCAAAACCTCTATAACCTCCATCTTTATAACCATTATTCTTGTAATCATTCACTTTCATAACCTCCACATTATAGTCATATTAATGTCATGTTTATGACTAACTTTTTGTATGCCTCTGTGTGACAATATAAATAGAGGCATAGACTTCATGTTCTACACTCTTGAAGATTTGGTGAAAACTTGAAAGAAAGAAAATTATTTCATATTGTTCCTCTTGTGTCATTTTTTTTTCATCTTTATATTATTCTTTTGTTCTTAAGTTTTGCAACGGGCTATTAATAATTGAAAGAAGTTGTTTTCAATGGAGACACATACATACCTTACCTTTTATTTAAGTAGGGATAAATGTCAAAAACACATCTAAACTATCATTATTTTTTAGTTTCATACATAAACTATTGAAAGTATGAGTTTCATTCATAACCTGTTGATTATTAGTTTGAGAAACATACTTTTTTCTTTTATTACTCTCTTTATGGTGTGTGTACGTACTACATTCTCTCTTTTACTTAAAAAAAATTGTCGATCACACTCCACATGAACAAAATATTCCACCTTCACAAAATTAAATATATTATTAGTATTAATTAAAATTAAAAAATGAAGAACTATTATTCCAAAAATATATTTTTAAATAAAATGCAAAATATTTTTCTAACTCACTCCATCATTTCCTCTTCGTTGTACCCCTACCCCATTTTTGCGTTCTTTCGTTCAAATTTCTTTTTATGTGTATTTAATTTTTTTTTTTACTTTATCGACCCAACCCCACCCCCTTCAAATAATAATTTAGATTTTATTTATTTTCTTTTAAGAAATAATTCTACCCCACTCTATCTATCCCACTGTTTCCAATTTGTTTTCTCATTTTATATTAGATACATACGAACCTTTTTAGGAAAGTATTTTTTTTATTCTCCGCAAGAATTTCTTTAAAATATTTTTTTTATTTATGTTATATCCGTTACACAAGTAGAAAAAAATTAAAAGAATATGTACATGTCTAACACAAAATGAGAAAAATGTAAATGTAAAAATAAAAATAAATTAGGAGTAGAGTATTAGATAAGGTGGGGTAAATTATTTTTTTTTAAAATAAAATAATATCATTTTGGGGTGGGGGGGATGAGTTGGTGGTTTGAGGGTGGGGGTGGGGGAGGGAGGGGGAAGGGGAAGTACGAATTGTTTAAAAAATATTTTATAAATATATAAAGGAAGGAGATTGTCCTGGGGTTGGGGTGGTGAAGTTTGGTAACAAAAATAATTTATTTATTTTTAAATATTATTTTTGGGATAGTAATACTTTAAATTTTTAATTTTTAATTAATAATAATAGTTTATTATTTTATTTTTGTTAAGGTGAAATTTTTTTTTGTCTATGTGAAAATGCAATGTGTAAGTTCTTTTTTTCAAATAATAGAAAGAGTGTTTTATATGCAATAGTAATATGTGTTTTTTAAAATAAAAAAAATGATAGTTTAGATATGAATGAGTTTGTTTTTTATATTTATGAAATTTTAATTTAATGAAGTCTGTCTATAAAGGGTATTTAAGACATTTAGTGATGAGAAAGAGCAGGTGACCAAAATGGGCCGTTGAAAAGGGGAAACTGAAACCCTGGCATCACAACGGTCGAATTTACCCCCAAACGCTTCGCTGTCTGCAGAGTTTCACAGAGAGAGAGAGAGAGATGGGGAAACGGAAGGAGCAGAAGAAAGTTTGTCATCGTGATGATGAGGATAAAGAAGTAGAAGGAAGCAGGTTCTTTGCCTGTTACTTGCTTACATCTATGTGCCCCAGATTCAAAGGCCACACTTACATCGGGTTCGTTTCTGGGTTCTATTTGTTTTTCCTTAATAGATAGATGTAACTGAAGCTACTTAGAATTATTATACTAAGAGATCTTTCTTTTTTCTCTGGATCCAATGATTATATTGGTTTTGGCTTCGCTAATCAATTCGCAATTGTTTGTTTGGACAGATTTACAGTAAATCCTCGCCGTAGAATTCGACAGCACAATGGAGAGGTAAGGATGGGTGCATTGAGGACTAAGAGGAAGCGTCCCTGGGAGATGATTTTATGCATATATGGCTTCCCTACCAATGTATCAGCCCTCCAGGTAATCTTAATCTACTATTTCCAAATGCAGAGGGAGGGAGGGAGGGTATTTGTATTTTTGCCATCCAAACATTCCAGTTTACCACATCCAACTCCAAGAGAAACCAATCCAAACGCCATATACTGTTTTTCTGGTCACTTAATGCACTGCTATTTGTTGCCTTAATTTTCATGTAAAATTTATTCACTTCAGTTGATGCTTGCTAATCTGAAACCTGAATTTGCTACACATGTCAATTTTTTCTCCTCTTTATTGCAGTTTGAATGGGCCTGGCAGCATCCAGTAGAATCCCGTGCAGTTAGACAGGCTGCAGCATCATTCAAAACTCTTGGAGGAGTTGCTAATAAGATAAAATTGGCATATACAATGCTTACTCTCCCTGAGTGGCAAAGGTATGTAATTTGTTTTGCCTGACCAGTCTGATTGGAATTTTTTCTCATTAAGTTATGTCTTCTATGTTCAGCCTGAACCTCACGGTAAATTTCTTCTCCACAAAATATAAGATGCATTCAGCTGGTTGTCCCAGTCTTCCAGAGCACATGAGAGTCCATATTTGTGCACTGGATGAACTTCCCTGTTATACAGGAATTGACAGGGATGAGTGGGAAAATATTTGTGCACTGGATGAACTTCCCAGTTATACAGGAATTGACAGGGATGAGTGGGAAAATAGGGAAGAATGTGAGAGCAGTGAAGAATTAACAGATGAAATATCCACAAATTCTAACAGTTCTTTTAGTAATCAAGACAAAGACGATGAACAAACTGATTGGAGAGAGCTTGATGAACGTGCTGGAGAAAATAGCACTCGTGGTAGAGAGCATTCATATATTATCATCGACTCTCCAGCAGAAAGGTTATGTTCAATTCAAGGTGATTTCTTTCACATAGCAGACAAGAAAGAGAGACATCAGTTGGATGATGAATTTGGTGAGAACCAGGCCAACAAGATGTATGATTCATTAGCAACCAAGAATGCTGGTTTGCCTTGTGACATTGAGGTTATTGATGTTTTTACTCCTCCAGTGCGTGCAGACAACAAAAGAAGAAGACTTTCGGCTAGTGTGCCTGAAATAATAGACTTGACAGACTCACCTGTTTATGTCTAATGTGATTAATCAGTCACCTGGTTTGTTTTTTTAATTGTCGTTCATCAAAATATAATGAGCTGAGCTAGCTAGAATGTTAGAATATGTAATAGTGATATTGTTGACTGATTCTTTCAGTGGCAGACTTCCATTTCCACCATGTCATGCATTTTGGATTGTTGTAAATAGTAAAGGGGACAATTACAGCCGAACAAAAAGACGCAAGTAATGTTGCAAAAGACTTTATTGATCTCAGTCACGATTCACAATTCACAACAAAGGGAAGTTGTAACCACAAAAGATCACTATTACGTTCACCCACTACTATTACAACAGTTAATCTGCTTTGGCAACTTACCCTGAGGATAAGTGGGGAGATAAGTGCATCTGACATTAGAAGAGGTACTTCACCTCTTTACTAGATGATGTTAGCCGGATCAAGTCCGTTCTGTTCCTTTACCTTCTTTAAGTCATGGTGGTAATTAGTGCCGGCAATTCAAGCCCAATTTTCGCAAACCCGTCCATTAAATATGGATAGAAACAATGATTTTAAAATATAGGTAATATTTGGGTTTATGCCCATATTTAACCCATCAATATATAAATATATATATATATATATATATATAGCATTTTCCTTCTTTTTTTATTTGCTTTTTAAAAAAAATAAATTATTATATCATAAAAAAATATTACTTAAATTTATTGCAAATGAATATTTTATTATTGGAGGATCATTTATAATAAAAACTCTTCGTATTTTTTAATCTATTTATCTCACTTATAATAAAAGAGGAAACATAATTTATTTATTTTTGACTTTTTTTAATTTAAATTAATTATTTTATTGTAAAAATATATTACTTTATTTATACAAATAAATATTTATCAATGTAGGAACATTTACAATAAATAACTCTCTATATTTTTTTTTCTATTTGCTTGTCTCACTTCTAATCATGAAATCATAATAAAATTTTTTTATATTTTAAGTATTTTTATTTTTTAATTTATTCACTAGGAGTTACAACAAATGACTTGCCCCTCTTTAATTTTTACTACTATCCTCCAAATTAAATTTGAAAGTTTGATGTCTTACGACATTTCTTTATTTTGCCTATAAATCATATTAGTTTCATGAAGTTTACATCCACAATTATCCTTTATTTTTTAATCATTATTAGTTTAGTTTGTATCAAAAAAGAAGTACATGAAGGCAAATAATATTTCATTGCAAATTTATATTTTTTATTTCCTCTATTTTCGTCTATATAAATTCATATTTGGTTTGTGAATGAAACTAACAAGTAACGAAAAAAAGCACATGAAGTTAATAAATATATCATTCTCAAGTCCTTATTTTTTCATTTCCTTCATTTTGTCTATATAAATTCATATTTATTCTCATGAAGATTCACATACAAAGTTATAATTTCTCTTCTTCATCATACTTGTTTGTGAATTAACTAACATGTAACAAAAAAAAGTATATGAAGGTAAGATATATTTCATTTAAAGTCTTTCTTTTTATTTTTATGTACTTAAATATGCTTTCTTAATATATTTTTTTTTACATATTATTATTAATCAAGTAAGCATGATTAAAAGAATATCTATAATTCTTAACAATGTGTTGTTTGTATGCAATTGCTCTTTCTAATAGTTAGTTTTTCAGATATAATATAGTTTGATTATAATATTTGTTAGATTTCAAGGAATAATTATTATTTAGTATTGTTAGCACTATTGGAAAGATAATATACAAATATATTAGGCTTAAGTCATCTACAACCACCTAAAGTTGTCCGCATTATTCACTTAGACACTTTAACTAAGGCTATTACCTATTAGACACCTAAAATATACAAAATGTTAACCTATTAAACACAAAACGTGACTTTGGCAATAAATGTGGATCTCACGTATGTTAAGCGCGTGAATAGATCCAAATAAATTTTTTTAATTATTTTTTCTTATTAAAAACTTGGACATTTTTTCTTTTATTGAAACTTGAAAATAATGATTATTTTTTTTAGTTTAAAAATGATTTCTTAATGAGCACAAGAAAGTAATTATAGTTTTCTTCTCCATTTTCTTTTTGAGTCAAACTTCTGTACTTCTTTCCTCTGCTTCTATTCTTTTTCTCCATTTTTTGTCTCAAACTTTTGTGTTTTTTTTCATTCTTTATATGAAGAAAATCTGAATCTATGGATTAACTTTGTAAGAAGAAAGAAGATTTCGACATTGGAGTTTAAAAAGTTAGTCGACGTCCGTCTGTTTTCTATATCTGGTCCTTATAAGTAAACATCACCACTCAAAACCCATTAAATTTATTCAAGTGATATTAGAGAAATTCTACAGAAATAACTTGAGTACTCTGGATTCTCTACGCCATCGTTCACTAACATTAATTTATTTTCCATAAACGTCACTTCGCTAAACTACACATACGTTATAATATTCTACTATTTATATCATGCTTAATCCCATAGTTTATAATAAGAAAAAAATGGATCTTGCTGGAAGAGGTGAGAACAGAGTGACAGTGGTGAGAACCAAGAAGAAACACCAAAGGTTTAATGGTTGAAATTGTTTTTTATTTCTTAAATTTGAAAATTCATTTTTATGATTAAATTGGACCCACGTACCACATGTCATAGTTTTATTTGTGTCTTTTTTAAGACACAGCGTGTGAACTACACGCACATTATTTTTAAAGTTGGTTTCGATTTTGTGTTCAATAGATACATATTATTAAAATTAAAGTGTCTAATAGGTACTAATCTTAGTTGAGGTGTCTAAGTGAATAATGCGGACAACTTTAGGTGGTCGTATATGATTTAAGCCAATATATTACATAGAGTTTATATTTCGTTCTTTCTTTTGACATAATTATTTTTAATTGGTATATGATTTCTTTTTATGCAGTTGGTTGCATATAGTGAAGAGTTTGACATATAGATCAAAACATGATGGTGATCTCTTTGCAAAGGAAGATGGTAGAAGAAAAAAAATGAAGCATATTTAGAGATTATTTTTTCACTTTGAATTGTATTAGCAACTTAGTTACTTTTGTAGAGCTTTAAATTTTGATTTATATAATTAATTCAGCTAAATATATTATATTGTCATTACTAATCATTTGATCCTTTAATACTCTACTTTCTCTTTGTTATGAAGAAAAATTAATATAATTATTTCATTTAACAACAACAACAAAATTTATGATGGTTAGGAGATTCCTTTTTATTATAATTATAAATAAAAAATTGAAAAAATAAAATATTGTTTTCGTGATGTCATTTTTTGTGTATGTAACAATCTGTCACCGTTCTTTTTGCTTTAAAGTGTATTTATAATTTTTAAGTAGCCACCAATTATTATATTTTATCTGTTTATTTTTTGTATTTTCACCCCTTATTTTTATTTATTTATTTTACAAATAAAATCAATACATAATTAGTATTTTAATGTCTAATAAAATTATACATTTGAATTATTTATAACTCATGTCTCTTCATCTTACTTTTAACGTTTAATATTAATATTATTCATAACTTTTATATGTTTCATTTTTCGTAAGTCTTATAAATATTTAATTAATTTTTAAAAAATTATAATAAGGAAATATAATAACAAGGAAATAATAAAAAAAATTAGTTTTGTTTTGACGAAATCAGAGTTTGAATAGAACATTAGTACTCATACAAAAGATAGAGAAAATTAAAACATATATAATATTTTCAACGTAATACAATATATTGCTATTTCAACATATTATCTCTTATTCCATTTACTTCAGCATGGTGAATATTTTGTTCTAATATATACATATGCAAACAAATAAATATTTTATATGTTTAAAAAAAATAAAAAAAAATATATAATATCACAGACGAGGAAAAATGTAAATAGTATCTATTTATTTGATACTAAACTACATATTACATATTTCATACTATTATCTTATAAATATTTCATATAGTCGCGCGAAGTGCGAATAATTTCACAACTTAAAATATAAGTTTGGGTTATAGTGAACACTAACCAACTTTTCTCCCAAGCTCTTAGAAAAAATTTTCAGCATCAAACATCATTGTTTCTTCCACGACCACAAAGACTTGCGAGTAACTTTCTTGACTTTCCGCTTGAAACCTTCTTCCTCATCTTCCCTCTTTTTCTTTGTTTGATATCTTAGAGCTATGATTTTTTATTAAATCCTCTGAAGCTTTTTTCCTGATTTCAAGGATTTTTTGAGGTAGAGGAATCTTTTTCTGATTTCAGAATTTTTTTTGTGCTAGAGGACTACTTCTTTATAATAATGTAAATATATGTTATATATAGTTTGGAAATTATAGAATCTTAGATTTCATGTTTTTGGATCTTTTTTTATGTTTTGTCTTTTATACATAAAAAAATTGTTTTCTATTTTAGAAAACGATGTCTACAAAGGCTAATGAGGACGTCTATGATGAATTTTGTGAGATTAGATCGTCGGTCCCTACAAAACGAGTAAAAAAGAATACTTCTGATGTTTGGAAAAGTTTAAAGGAATTGTTTCATGCAGCAAGTAATGAAATGTTAAAAGCTCAATGTAATGTTTATAAGAAAGCTTTTTCTAGGAGACTCATATAGACACACAAATTTTATTGAATTTAATTCATAAAGAAATTGGATTAAGTTCATGTTTATTTGGGCTAAATGATTAATTTGAGTTTTACAAATAAAGAAGTCTATCTTATTAAATTCAAATTCAAAGTCCATTTCACCTTGAAGCCCAAACACATGTCACATGTCACAATGCTAGGCAGTCAAGATCAACAAGGTGACACCACGTGTCCAAATGAGGTGGTAGTATCAATCAAATGCAAAAACCAATCACAATTCGCCAAGTGTCAAAATGACATCCTTTGGCCAATCATAAGCAACCTTGTCCACCACCTACAACTATAAATAGAGGATGGACATAACATTCTAGGTGGAAGCAAACTCTTTTACAAGCATTCTGCAATTGCAGAAAGCTACAACATCAACTACATAGAGTGATTAGCGGAGTTCTTTCTGGAGATCGACTTGCAACGACGAAGTGCTTCACGACGTTCTTGGAGATTAAATACATCTCAAGGAGGTCTACATATGCTACAACATAAACTACATAGC